TTTGATGGTGCTTGTTAAACAAGAACTCTACCACTTCAGCCTAGACCTAGAAAACATTTGGAGATCAAGGAGGGCGCCTCTCAGAGCTCCCACAAAACATCTGCCATTCTGTAGACACCCTATTATTATGAGAGCGATTCTCTGCACACAGACTCCCAAACCACCTGCTTCCAGGCCTGGGGGAAATCAGCCAGCCTCAGAGAGCAAAGCGGTGAGAGACGCAATCTCCCAGCCCTGGGCCTGGCGGCCCAAGCTTGGAAAACAATTAAGTGAGCTCAAAGCAGCAACAGCCAGGGCCGCCTACCTCAGCACTCCAGGAGGCCCACTCCCCTTTGAGGCAGAGAATAAAGCCAAAACAGAAGATCTTATGCCCAGTGCCTGTGAGCCTTGCTACTCAGGAGGCTGAGACCTGAGGATCACAGTTCAAAGCCAGCCTGGGCAGGAAAGACCATGAGACTCTGTTCTCCAATGAACCACCAGAAAACCAGAAGTGGCACTGTGGCTCAAGCGGGAGAGCGCTCGCCTTGAGCTGAAGAGCTGAGGGACAGCGCCCAGGCCCAGAGTTCAAGCCCCATGACTGACAAAAAAGAAAAAAGAAAGCCCTATGTCAACTAGACGTAGGAAGGAAGGAAAGTGAGTAGGAAAATGGGCCCTGAATTCCCAGTTTGTCTATCTAGCTAGAACCACTGAGCCACCTTCCCAGCCCCAAACCCCAGCCTCTTGACTTAATTTCCCCCTGGAATCTTTCACATCCCCCTCTGTGGATAAGTCTGAAAGTTGTTGGAGAGGTTGCTGGGTTTTTTTTTTTTTTTAGGACTTCACGATCTCACAATTAGGGTGTCTCTCAACAGGAACACCGGGCAATCTGGACAGATGTGAACAGATGAATGCAGACCCCAAGTGACATGAACCGTGCCTGGTTTGGACCTCAGAACACCATACCAGTCCCGAGGTGACACCCACAAAGCCGGGGGTGGAGACAAAGGAGAATCCCCTCTTGCACACAACAGGGAAACTGTATTCTGTCCACGCTGCACAAAGAGCTGTCAACCCCAAGCTCCATTCGGCTTCCTGCTCAAGCTTTTGTTCAAAATAAGCAATCTATATGATTTAATTAGGTTAGGCCTCTGCTCCCTTCTGCTGCGAAAACTCAGTTTGTTCCCCTAGCAATGCATCTCTTCCAATGTGATTGCATTATGGGTGTCAAGAAGACATTTTCTGGGAAGGTGGCTTAGTAGTAGAGCGCTCGCCTAGCATGCATGAAGCCCTGGGATCGATTCCTCAGTACCACATACACAGAAAAGGCTGGAAGTGGCGCTGTGGCTCAAGTGGTAGGGTGGTAGCTTGGCCTTAGAGCAAAAGAAGCTCAGAGACAGTGCCCAGGCCCTAAGTTCAAGCCCCAGAACTGGCAAAAAAAAAAAAAAGAGGGCTGGGAAGGTGGCTCAGTGGTAGAGCACTTGCCTTGCATGCCTGAGGCCCTGGGTTCGATTCCTCAGTACCACATAAGCAAAAAGAAAA